ATATATATGACTAGGTGTACAGTATATAGGTGTCAATATCACATTACTTAATCCATTTAGTGTTGTGTAGCTCGCGTTGATGATTCAGGTGTAGAAACGTTGAGCACTGACACGTGGAGGTGATTTTTACGAATGGTGTGATCCCTATAGCACACCTGTATGAGTCGTTTAATGCCGCAACAGGTGTGGACGGATGAGCGAAGAGGGGGTGTGGTGTGGTGGGGGGGGGGAAAATCAGGCGAACAATCCTCTCACTGTATCACCCCGTCCTTATCAATTGAGACGGCGCCAACACCCCCTCACCCCTCTCCCTCACCCCTCTCCCTCACCACTCTCCCTACACCTCCCTCACCACTCTCCCACACACCCCTCTCCCTCATCTCCCTCACCACTGTCCCACACACCCCTCACCACTCTCTCTCGCTCTTCCCTCACTGAATACACCCTCAGAAGGTCACACACACTGAGGACAGGAAGTGACACTAATTATTTACGCCATCTCTACCTGACCACACACACACACACAGACCACAAGAAGTTAGGTACATATGTCTAAATTCCTATGAGACAGATTTTCAAAGGTTTTTACTATGTTGAATTTTTTCCCATTTCTCGACCCGTTCACTGCTTCGACCCGTTCACTGCCTCGACCCGTTCACTGCCTCGACCCGTTCACTACCTCAACTAGTTCACTGCCTCAACTAGTTCACTGCCTCGACTCGTTCACCGCCTCGACTCGTTCACTGCCTCGAACCCGTTCACTGCCTCGACTAGTTCACTGTTCTTGACACTTCAGGATTTTCTTCTGGCCACCGTCAAACTGTGAGAGGCTTAAGATCAACCAGATAAATAAACACCTAAAATGATCTGTGACTTAAGCTGAGACTGCGTTGAGACTCTATGCTGAGATTCTACACTGAGACTACACTGAGACCCTACACTGAGACTCTACATTGAGACTCTACACTGAGACTCTACATTGAGATTCTATGCTGAGAGTCTACACTGAGATTTTATGCTGAGACTCTACGTTGAAACTCTACACTGAGACTCTACAATGAGATTCTACGCTAAGACTATGCTGAGACTCTACGCTAAAACTCAACACTGAGACTCTACAATGACATTCTACGCTGAGACTCTATGCTGAGACTACGCTGAGACTTTATGCCGAGACTCTACACTGAGACTATGCAGACTCTACGCTGAGACTATGCCGAGACTTTACGCTGAGATTCTACACTGAGACTATGCAGAGACTCTACGCTGAGACTCTACACTGAGACTTTACGCTGAGACTACACTGAGACTATGCAGAGGCTCTACACTGAGACTCTACGCTGAGACTTTACGCTGAGACTATGCAGAGACTCTACACTGAGACTACACTGAGACTCTACACTGAGACTATGCAGAGACTACGCTGAGACTCTACACTGAGACTCTATGCTGAGACTACGCTGAGACTCTATGCTGAGACTACACTGAGACCCTATGCTGAGAGCCTATGTTGAGACTTTACACTGAGACCCCTATGCTGAGATTGTTCACTGAGACTCTACACTGAGACTACACTGAGACTCTACACTGAGACCCTATGCTGAGACTGTACACTGAGACTACACTGAGACTCTACACTGAGACCCTATGCTGAGAACCTATGTTGAGACTACACTGAGACCCTATGCTGAGATTGTACACTGAGACTACACTGAGACCCTACACTGAGACCCTATGCTGAGACTGTACACTGAGACCCTATGCTGAGACTACACTGAGACCCTATGCTGAGAACCTATGTTGAGACTACACTGAGACCTATGCAGACTGTACACTGAGACCCTATGCTGAGACTACACTGAGACCTATGCTGAGAACCTATGTTGAGACTACACTGAGACTCTACACTGAGACCCTATGCTGAGAACCTATGTTGAGACTACACTGAGACCCTATGCTGAGATTGTACACTGAGACTACACTGAGACTCTACACTGAGACTATGCAGAGACTACGCTGAGACTCTATGCTGAGACTACGCTGAGACTCTATGCTGAGACTACACTGAGACCCTATGCTGAGAGCCTATGTTGAGACTTTACACTGAGACCCCAATGCTGAGATTGTTCACTGAGACTCTACACTGAGACTACACTGAGACCCTATGCTGAGACTGTACACTGAGACTACACTGAGACTCTACACTGAGACCCTATGCTGAGAACCTATGTTGAGACTACAGAGACCCTATGCTGAGATTGTACACTGAGACTACACTGAGACTCTACACTGAGACTATGCAGAGACTACGCTGAGACTCTATGCTGAGACTACGCTGAGACTCTATGCTGAGACTACACTGAGACCCTATGCTGAGAGCCTATGTTGAGACTTTACACTGAGACCCCAATGCTGAGATTGTTCACTGAGACTCTACACTGAGACTACACTGAGACCCTATGCTGAGACTGTACACTGAGACTACACTGAGACCCTACACTGAGACCCTATGCTGAGAACCTATGTTGAGACTGTACACTGAGACCCTATGCTGAGACTGTACACTGAGACCCTATGCTGAGACTACACTGAGACCCTATGCTGAGAACCTATGTTGAGACTACACTGAGACCCTATGCTGAGATTGTACACTGAGACTACACTGAGACTCTACACTGAGACCCTATGCTGAGACTACACTGAGACCCTACACTGAGACCCTATGCTGAGAACCTATGTTGAGACTACACTGAGACTATGCTGAGATTGTACACTGAGACTCTACACTGAGACCCTATGCTGAGACTACACTGAGACCCTATGCTGAGATTGTACACTGAGACCCTACACTGAGACTACACTGAGACCCTATGCTGAGAACCTATGTTGAGACTACACTGAGACTCTACACTGAGACCCTATGCTGAGACTGTATACTGAGACTACACTGAGACCCTATGCTGAGACTCTACACTGAGATTCTACACAGACCCTATGCTGAGAATCTATGCTGAGACCCTATGTTGAGACTACACTGAGACTACCACCACTAGGTACGTAAATTTTCCTCAAACACTGACGATGATGATGTAAGAACGCATTTAAAATGGTGTGTAAATTACGTTGAGACTCTAACCTAAACATTTATTTATTTATTTATTTGGTTATTTGTTCACTCGGTGCCTGAGCAGTAAGAGGTGTCTCGAGACTGCTATAAATAGTTCTTCAACTTTTTAATTTATCACTAGACTTAAATTTGTAAACATCGTCTCTTCCTGACACGTGTCAGACCATTATACTGTACACGTGTGTTGGTTCTGTCTACCTGTACGGCCAGAGCATTAGAATTAGGTGTACAGTACGCTTCTAGTACTTGTTTTATATATATATATATATATATATATATATACAGTATATATATATATATATATATATATATATATATATATATATATATATGTATATATATATATATATATATATATATATATATATATATATATATATATATATATATATATATATATATATATATATATATATATATATATATATATATATATATATATATATATATACAATATATATATATATACAGTATATATATATATATATATATATATATATATTTTTTTTTTTTTTTTTTGGAGGATAAGCCACTCAGCTTATTACCAGGTGAGTTATGTTAGATTTGGTTATGTTATGTTATGTTATGTTATGGGAGTGGGGAGGGTGAGGGGGTGGTTTAGAGGTGGGGTAAGGGGAGTAATAAGGAAAGGGAGGTGTAGGGGAGGGGAGAGGTGTAAGGGGTGTAGGGGAGGGCGGCGTCAAGCTCCCACTCATTATATGGAACATGACACAAATCGTGCTGTTTGCCAGTTAAGGAGGCTAGGTTAGGTTAGGTTAGGTTTCTAGTATTCGTCACCAATCATCACAGTGGCTACGTTGTGTGTGTGATGTGTATAGTGAAACAGTTCTGATGTAACGCAGGTATTTAGCATGATGATTTAACCTGGTTGTATAGTGATCCCATGGTGAGGGGAGGGGGAGAGGGGTAGTAAGACGTGATAATGGGTGGTTCAGATACAGGATGAAGTGTTGGTAACAGGAAGGTCATGTCACGCCCCTTTCAGTGACGCATGACGTCTACAAATAAAATAAACATGAACGCATAGAATTTTCCAAGTGATTTCTATGTTAATTGACATACCCTCGTACTCAGTGGTGTGTGTGTGTGTGTGTGTGTGTGTGTGTACACCCAGAGACATGTCATGTTTTTCTTTACTAAATAAAACCTCAAGGAATCTAGGTTAAGAAACTATAAACAAAGTCTCACACTGAAACTTGTATGTAACTCTGTCAAACTTACACATAACTTAAAGATTCATGAAATAAGACTAAGACAAAACAAATATAATACCTTTAAATTATCAAAGATCTAAACAAAAATACAATATTTCTTTGCACACTAGACAAAGGTTCTTACAAGACGAAGGATAAGTTTATCTTACCTGGACACTGGCCAGAACACAGTGTATCACTAAAAGACACCAAACTATATATATATTATGTTTGAGCCTCTGTATCGGGGAGGGGCGGTGGTAGGACTGACTGTTACTATCTGCCGGGGGCGACACGTGCGCCGGGAACACTCACGTAGGGTCGGGTCGTCCACCTGTGCCCACACTTACCTTGACCCTCTCGCCTTCCTGGCCGTGTTCACTGTATCTTCACAACCAACTACTTGTTTACTTGTGTTATCTATTTTATTAAGACATTATTTGTATTTCGCAGTATATTCATGAGTTTCCTTTGTTTTTCTATACGATTCCCTGGTTGTATATCACTCTTAAAGACGTAAGTTCTGTCACTTTTTATGTTGTTTCACACCACTACTCAAATAACACCTTCAAAACTTTAAGCTTATCTTGTAAACAGAGACAAATACAGCAACACCTCAACATACCCTCATGCCGCTGTACCCACACATTTTCACTTACCCCACTATGTACAAGCCAGTGGCAATTGCTAGCACTAACAGGCGGAATATCGCCCGCATACGAGAAGCCAAGAATTCGAGCCCCGACTCCACATGTTTTAGTCTAATGGGGGCCAAGGTGGGTGGTGGACGTTGGTGTTTTCTTTCCTCACAGCACGCCTCTGGTGATAGTCCAGCACACCCGCACCGAGTGAGGCCCGTGACCAGTGAGGACTAAGGCAACACTGAGTGGCTCCGACCTCCGTGGACTGTGCTGGTGTGCTCAGTAAGACCTCAGTCTTCTCGACCGGTTTTTACGTCAGCGGCGGTGGCAGAGTTGCCATACAGTGAGAGGAGTGGCGATGCTGTAGGAGCTTTAGGGAACTGAAATTGACATCAAGGAATGTTGTATGTTGTAAATAGTGAGTCATAAAATGTTTGTACAAGGGATGTGTGCGTCATACAACCTGTACTACCAACACTCCTGCACTATCACCACTCACACATCTGCTGTCACACACACACACACACACACACACACACACACAAACATTATCAAGCTCGATTTTATTTTAAGTTTTCCTTCAGTCACAAGTTCCTTTACTTCCCAAACACATCATTATTTTTTTCTGTACTCTATTGTCTACTAGAAATTTTGTTATGGAGTTTATGTTTTAATATAGAGATAACCTAAATTATCTTATTTTCACTCTTCCTCTTAGTCTTCTTTCAATCCCTTCCTCCCCTTGGTCTTCTTTAGCTCCCTTCCTCCTCCTCGTCTTTCACTCCCTCTTCTTATCTACTTTCACTCCTCTCTCTCTCTACAACAACAACACTAAGAAGACGAGGCAGAGATGTGGGTCATGAGAGAGGGAAGTGTGTCGTGTCAGTCAATAAGTCAATACTGTGAAGGGACTATAACTATGTTGTCTTAACTGACTCATAAGATAGACAGTTAAGAGGTGTCTGGTAGGTAGGCGAGGAAGGACCGTATACAATGATTGATGTTGGTGGTTAAATATTGTTTTTCAGTATCTCGCTTAGTTAGGAGAGGTGTTTGTCTCTCTCAGTTCTTGTGTGGTTATAACACTTCTCTCACTTTTTTTTACACTTTCTGTTTATTTACATCCTACAGTAAATACAAGAGTAATGGTTCAGGATTACATGTTAGGGTAATATTAGTTTGTCAGCTTCGTGGTTGTCTTGGTGTTGATGCTACCGGCGTCTCTTGCTGTACGGATGAATGTAGAAGAAACACACGTATTAAATACTCCAACAGGAGGTAGTCAGACAGGGAAAACCAAGAGGCTCTCCCAAGAGGTGGCCTGGGGATAACTACGTGAATGATGCTGCATTTAGGACCAGCAAGCACTCAGGCCTGGTGAGTTGCCAACTTAGCACATTTTCGGAGTGAGAGTTGTGAACTCTTGGAACAATCTGCCAGAGAGTGTTGTGACGGCACCGACTGTGAGCTCCCTCAAGACCAGATTTGACAAGCACTGGGGCAGGTTCAGATACATTCAGGAGCCAGTGCATGCGCCAGTGCATGCCTAGTACTTGCCAACAGTACGTAACAGAGACGTGGCCGACTGCCCAAGCGGCTAAGGAGCCGATCAGTGGCGAAGATAAAAGACACGAAAAAAAGACATTCTTTAATTAATAGCAACTTGTATAAAATTTAGAGACATGGAGAGATCAAAGCTGTGTAACAAAATGAAGATCTCGACTTTAAATGCAAGTACAGTATCTTAGTTTAAGTATTTATGGACTTTACGAAATGTAAAATGTTACGCGAGCAAAGAACTATGAAGTGATGTGACCAGAATGTCAGTAACAAGGAAGGCTGGGGTGAATTTGATACGGAATAAATACTGCTAAGTTTTTGGTAAGCTAGCGTATTCTGCTTCTATTCTAAAACAACAGCATTATTTATTGTGGATGTGTTAATCTATATAAAGCCTACTGTCTAGGACTAGCACTATGGTTAGATATTTTTTCCTGGAGACTTGCATTTCAAATCTAGCGACATTCTAACGATTAATGAATTCAGACTTTTGGCAACCTCGTAGAACCAAGTGACCGAGCAGACGCCCCCCTGCTTCTAGGAACGGCGGTACAGATGTCATTTTATCTTGGTGTGGAGAGCTTTTGCATCACAGAATCAACAAGTGAAAACGTTTTGAGGTCAGATTAACAAGTGAACGTCGAGGGTGCGGGATAAGTGTGGGTTAACAGTGTGGCGTGTAGACTAGGATTGATTCACATACTTCCTACTTCACGTTCCATAACTTGATAAGAATGGGACTTATCCTTGGAAACGTGAGTTCTCTTAAATAACATTCCGTTTTTATAGTATAGGTTACAATGATTCCTATAAAGAAGTAGTAATTAAAATGTTATAATGCATATTACGCTCGTTTTGTTCTTGATTATATCAGAATAAAAGAGGTGGTATTTTAAAACTACATGTAAACAAAATTAAACCAATCAAATGCATTATTACCATTGATTAATTATGTGTATAGGCGTTAAAGAACATAACTATCCTTATCACTATGTCTATACTGAGCAATAAAATCATGTCTATACTCTGAGCAATGAAGTAAGATGACAACATTATTATTACGCTCGTTACAATGACTGTATTTAACAACTTATATACTGTACTTGTAAGGGCACAGCAGTAATCAGTGTAACCCAAGTGAGGACCAAACACAGACCGCAGTGTGAGAGGTACATGTGTCCCCGCTGTGGCATCGATAAGAAAAATAAATAGTTCTTTCTCACAATATTCTTTCTCCTCCTCTTACACTTTACTGTCTCGCTTACTTTACTCATTCACTTACTATACTCACTCATCCTCTACGCTATTGGTCAAATTTTAAGTCATCAGTCAGGTGGTCAGTTTGTCTTCAGTTCTTTAATCCTCATCGTCACCTGTCACCTCTTTCACCTATCGGAGTCTTAAATGATGCAGGTATGAGTTCAGGTGAGAAGTGGTGAGAGAGATTCGGGGAAGAGCTACTGGTAACCTTGTCTATATCCTTAACAAATCTCTCAAGAGGAAATTCCTATCCTCCCCTCATTTGCTGCCTCATTAAGGTAGGAATCTCCCAGTAGACGCCGTTTTATCACCCAGCCAAAAGCGGGTAAAGGAATCAGTATGTGTTGGTGTTTGTTTTTTAAATTAAGTTATCAGTTTTTAAGGGAATTTCACGCCACTTGGTAAAATATTAATCAGTAATTGGCCTTTGTTAGTCTTGTCCTCTTGAGGTCAACAGGAAATCCTGAAGCTCTGTTATTCATCGCTAAAGATACGGAACATTCACTTCTACATCCTGTAAAATCAAGGAAATTTCTTGGCTTTCTCTTGAGTCGGAAAGAAAGTAGCTCGTTCACTCAGAGAGGGGACTCGGGCGTGCCCCTGACTCGCCAAGATGAGGTGAAAGTTATTCAGGAGAACCGAGCCGTTACTTTTAAATCCTGCTCTTGAAAGGCTAAGCTATGAGGGCAGGTGTGCTCCAGGGGTGTATATTCAGGGTGCGCTAGGTGTGCTCCGCACACCCATAAAGTCATGAAATGATGATTTAATACTTTTATTTAATGTAAATAAATATACATGACATTTTACATGTATTAACACAGTGTTAACCTCAACTGTTGGCTTTCCTGTTGGCTTGCTATTAGCTGCAGAGCCTGCAGTTGAGTGGAGCTGTCACCGCACACTTTGGGTAGTAGTACCAGATGGGAGGGTACCGAGGCGGGGAGGGACGGTTTATAGCGAGTGAAGTCGAGCGGCCAGCCAGTAGCACCCGGCGGAGGAAGTGTTGCTCCGTACTTCGTTTCCGTTTACTGTGAATGTTAAAATATATCTCTTTGTTTTGATGCACATTGTATTTAAAGCTCACTGTGCAATTTAATTTAGATACTTTAACATCATTTTCACCCTTCTTACACAATGGGAAATACTGTTGAAAAGAATTTACTCACGGAATTAAGACAAAGAGGCTCCTTTTATGATGACGTTATATTGCAGTTTACATCGCAAAAAAAAAGAATAGAACTAATGTATAAATAAAATGGGTAAGTTAAATATATATTTCTTTAAATTGCACTGGTAATATATGTGCACTTCTACAATACTTTCTTCTATTTTGCATTTCTCTGCTGTTTATATGCGTAATATACTACCTTTTATAAGTATGTAATTTATTTTATACAACTTAAAGTTTAGTCTTTTTCTTATTATAATGCTCAGCACACCCTGTTTCAATACCCATCATACGCCACTGGTGTGTTCACAAAAGGAAGTTCACCATCCACTTGTCTTCCATATTAACGACAGGATTCGGGTTTTTTATTCACTTAACCGAAAGGGGATAACTGTAGTAATCAGTGTCTGTCGGTATTCCAGACACTAAATGAACCAATCACGTTATTTTCCAAGGGATTTATATTAATGAATGTTCTTCTATTTATCTATAAACGATCTCTAAGAGTGTGAAGGAGTGCAATGTGGGGTTTGGCGATGTTTGGCCTAAAAAAATAAACACCCATCAAAGAAAATGTAAGGTTTGATGGGTAACTCATTAAATTCTACAAACCTGAACTCCCCATTTATTTTATGGTGATAGAGACTGAAGTCACTGAACATAGTGGAACCAGACACATGCTATGAAGATAGACAAACACAGAAATATTTAACATACATTTACGCCAGAAATGACTAACGTTTAAGCTTAGAAACAGTACAAGTATATGAAAAAATAAGCTTGGAATCTCTTGTTAAATAAAAACAAATGTTGTACACTTCAGCAAACGAATAAAAGCAAAAATAATTAAATAGTGAATACCAAGAAACAAAATCAAATGACGTGCTTTAAATTAGAAACCAGTAGCACAACGCACGGCTAGGGTGTCGATACGCCGAGTTCCGAGACGGTAAGGATGTTCCGAGAAAAGGCAGGGAAAGTCCTCACATGTGACGCAAGTATCAAGAGGCGCCAGCTTATGAAATTATGCAAGTACACTGTAGATTGTTGTTATATTAATTAGTCGTCGTAGTTAGTAATAGTAGTAATAGTCTCGAAGGCCAGAATTATAATAAAGTTGTAATGGTACTAGTTGTATTAATTAGTTGTAATAGTTAGTATTAATAGTCGTTAATAGTTAGTAGTAGTAGTAGTAGTAGTGGTGGTGGTGGTGGGAGTAGTATGGTGTATAGTTATGTCATCAGTGGTATCACTTGGTACTAGCAATAATAATGTGATTATAAGTCTCAGTATTAATAGTTATAGCAGGTGTGGTGGTAATAACCACACCGTAATGACAGTACTGAACACAATCTGCAGTAAACACACAGACGCTTCTGCCATTGTAACCGGAGGAGAGCGTTCCCAGATGTGCGGGGTATCAGATAACGAGATGAGAGGAATGAATGGCGTAGTGGGTTAAGTATGGGAATAAGGAGGCCGATATGTATACAAATTCAACCCTTAACAACTTGGTACTATATTTAGACAACGTCCCACGGATGGGTCGTGGTCTGTGTGTATCCAACTGTACAACTGTTGCCACTGCAGTTGTTGTTACTGCTTATATAACTGTTGTTACTGCGTATACTGTGTACTCTACAACTGTCACTACTGCATAATTATACAGTATACCTTACAACTGTTGTTATTTGGTCTACAGTACAAGTTTCGTTACTGTATAATAATGTTGTACTTACTAACCGAGTAGTTTCCTATATGTATCTTATATATTATTAAATATTAGCTATACTTTACACACCTAATGCCTACCTCTTGTCGATCCACCACCTGTGAATATAACTTACCCGTTATATACAACAGAGGATCATATTATACAAAATACATTGTTTATCATCTTAAAGTCTACATATCTTTGCCACATAAAACTTGACAGTGACATGACTTTACTGTAACAAACTGTAGTGCTATAGCTCACACATATATGGTTCAGAAAGGGTAGATTACAGCGATTGAGATAACCCTATTACTGTTAAACTCTTTAATGCCAAGACGCGTTAATCTGACGTAATTCACACACACACACACACACACACACACACACACACACACACACACACAAAACAATAACTAATAACAAAACATACACGTATATGATTCAAGTGGAGACTAAATATACTCATTCGTCGAGGGAATGTTAACCTGAAATAGACAAAACAAAATACGAATTGCACTAGGCACTTTGGTGTGAGGGTCGGGTATATATTTAATCATTAAAATGTTACATTTTAAGCTTTTCTTGTTTTGTTTTTAATTTAAATATTTTGTTTAAGTT